GAAAATACCTTTTATCTTAAGACAGCCTGAATTCTTTCTAGTATATAATCAGAAGCCAAATCTGAGCTAAAACAGTAATTTCCACAAAAAGGAAATACTGTCAGTTTAAAAACTTTCAGTAAAATAAAGTCTAAAAAAACCTAGAAGTTTTATATAGACAAGTTCCTGAAGCCTCACCGATTTCTGTAGGGTATAGGGTGCAATGTCTGATGGTACAGAAATTACTGCAAAGCCTCAGCTAAATTTTGTCAATATTCTGATATTAACCCCCCTTTTTTAAAAAAAAAAAAAAAAAGAAAGAAAAGAAAAAAGGAAAAAAAAAAGCTGACTCATAATATTCCTTCACAAACTTGTTTCAAAAACAGAAAACACAAGGAAAATGAAAAGGAGAAAGTTAGATTACTAGTCACCTTTGATTGTTCTGCCCTTGAAAAGTGATAGAAATACAGATTGAAGTTCCTGGTACATTCTGGTTTTAGTTCATACAGCCCTCTGCCTGTTAGTCCGGGTTTTCTGCAAAGAAAAAATAAAGATGTATAAAAGTCATTATGTGTTCAGTGTTATAGCTATTGTTATGCTGAAATGTTAAACTAGAACAACTAAGAAATGTTGCTCAAGAGACAACCTAGAAATCAAATATGCAATAGATAGTATTTTGAGTGATGTACACAAGTTATGGGGAAAACAGTGACCTAGCCCCCTTCTGTCTTTTCTTTTTTACTAGTATAGGTATTCGGCTTTTAAAGCTGAAATAATAAAGTAAAACATACTTAAAACAGGCAACTTCTTCGATCACACTTTCCATTCCCGTTTCCCTGTTCTCCTGCATAGAATAAAAAGAGGCAAGATATGTAAGTATCAAAAATACCTTGTCTTCAAACGTATTTCTAATTATGTTATTTAATTTTTTACTGTTTTTCCCTACCCTAGCAAACTTAGACGTAATAGAAAGAGAAATTTTAGTTTACTCAATATATATATGAGGTATGTGTAAGTCAATATTTCTGTTTCCTAAACTAAAATAAATACAGGAAAATGTTAAAGAGTCACAGAAAAAATGACAAAGCCACAAAACAAAAGGTAGCACGAGAAATTAGCTCCAATATGTAACAAATTGACAATTTTAAATCACATCCCTTTCATACAATACA